GGAATTCAGTACCAATGGGATAGGATTCAGTGCTAACTGGTGCATATGAACACAGATTTTTCACAGTGCCTGGCAGGAGGCCTGTGCTTCATCTGTGCAGGTACCAGTCAAGATAACTTGGTCTCTCTGCAGGTGATGGCTGTGCTCAAGGGGTTTCTCCTCTCGGTGCTACTGTTATGCAAAAATAGCAATGTAGCTGTGTAGCTCCTTGAGCACGGCCCACCTCAGAGCCATTTTCTCACGATGCCCACACATCCCTTGACATTTTGAATATCTAAAAATGCTCTGATATCAGTCTTGAATACATTTGACGATTGAGCAGTCACAGCCCTCAAAGACAGAACTCAAAGATTCGCCATCTGGTGAGTGAAGACATTCCTTTGCATCTAATCCTAAATGGTCTGCTGCTGATTGTGAGACTGTCCCAATGAAGAGAATGATCTTTCTTCAGCAACCCTGAGAAAATTCTGCACCATTCAATGTGATCGCCTATCGTCTAAGCTTGAGAATACTGGCCCAGCCTCAAGTTTTCCTCATGGGAAAACCCTGCATATAAAGAATCAGTCTAGTGATGTGGGGCTCTTCTTTCTGACTGGATATTGTGTAATCAGTGGGACAGATAACGTGGACAGTTGGAAGTTAAAGGCAGCACCTTCAATTTAGGGAAATGCCCCAAGTCACTTCACAGAAGGTCAAAACAAATCTGACAGTGAATTTATAAAGTGAAAGCTTGGCCTAAGGTGCAAACACATTTTTGGAAGTGTCATAAAGAGAGGAAGAGATTCATGAGCCACTGAGTGTGACCTTTGAACAGAGTGCTGGGAGTTGGTTGTGGGGAAGAGTGGTGAAAGAGGGAAGGAGGTGCTTTCTTGCTTTTTCTGAACTCTTTCACTCTGTAGGAATTGATTTTGAATTGAATTAGACTTTATTGTCATGTGCATTCGAACAAGTGCAGTGAAAAGTTTGAAATGTTGCCTCATTCAGGTAAAGGATACTTAGTATGTATTACAGAATTGAGCGAATCATAAATAAAAGTTCAGCATAAGAATAAACGATAAAGAATCCTTTTAAAAAGTACTCGCACATTAGTCTTTTAACCAAGTCTGTTGCAGCTTTCAGACTACAGGGCCAAGTGTACAGGAGATGCTGGCTATCTGTCCTGCAGGCCTGGCTTGCCTTCCGCCTCTGCCCCTGGACTGGCCTCCACTCCACTCGCTTGGACTTTACTGCCTCCACACCGGCCTGGCCTAGGCCGTGCCTCTGGAACTCACAGAGAGGAGATATTTAGGAAGTATCTGCAATATTGTTGAGGTCAAATCTATTCTGAACGATTGAAGTAGGAACATAAGAACTAGGAGCTGGAGTAGGTCATTCAGCCCCTCGAACCTGCTCACCTCTATACAATCACGGCTGATCTCCTCTCTGCCTCGACTTCACTTTCCTGTCTGAACCTATAACTTATTAAAAATCTATCTCGTCTAAAAAATTATCTATTGTTCTGGCATTCACCACACTCTGGGATTGTCAGTTCCACAGATTCACAACCTTTTGAGAAAAGTAATTTCTCCTTGTCTGTATTTTGGATAATTTTAATGAATAATGTTCAGGCATGTTCCAACCCACTTCTAGAACAGGTGGGATTTGAACTCCAGCCTCCCCAGTCGGGACAGAAACCTGTTGCAGAAGGATTTCAAAGAGGAGTCTTGAGTCCCATGCCCAGCAGCACAAATGGATCTCCAGCCGGATTTCCCCACCAACACAGCCTCCGGAGAGATTGACTCCACGACATGGCCCCAGGCTGCACTAGGGCCCAAGACTCCACCCCCACCCCCTCCACCAAAATCTCCCTCCAACAAGTGCCCTCATCTCCATTTTAAACTGCTATCCCTTATCCTACTACTATGACTTCTCGTCCCAGATTGCCCAACTTAAGGAAACATCCTTTCTGTAGACACTGTGACACATAAGGGAAAGGAAAAGTTAGCTGGATATTTCATACTAAAATGTGGCCAAACCTCTCAGGATAGTATCTTCTGACTTTGTTAGTGGTCAAGAACAGAGGACAGTTGGTGCAACTCAGATAGGCAAGTAGACCCAGACTGCAGGACTCCAGGAGCCTCAGCCTTAGTGATTGTCCAACCCTTTCATAGTTCTGAGGAAGGGTCACCGGACCCGAAAAGTTAACTCTGATTTTTTTCTTCACAGATGCTGCCAGACCTGCTGAGCATTTCCAGCAACTTCTGTTTTTGCTCCGTTCATGGTTCTTTCAGCTTGTTTGGATGACAGTGAAGGCTGTAGCTAAATGACCATGTCTTTGAAACAATCTACCGTCGAGTCAAGTGGATGCTCGGGTTTTCAGCATCTTGCGGATAAAACTTGATGGATTTTTGTGTACTCAGGGAATTGAGGGATATGGGGATAGTGTGGGAAGATGGAGTTGAATTTGGAAAATGTAACACCTTTAGTCCAGGAAGAAAAAAGGCAGAAAGAAGGAAACTATAAGCCAGTTAGCCTGATGCCTGCCATATGAAAATTTCTCGAATTCGTTATTAAGAAGGTTGTGGAAGGTTACTAATAAAAGTCATAACTTCATCAGGCTGAGTGAACATGGCATTGTGAAAGCAAAATCATGTTTAATGGATGTTACTTTCTCAAAAAATGTAATACCAGCAGGATGACTAGAGGATAACCTTTAAATATGGTGTATTTGAATTTCCAAGAGACATTTGATCTAGTTATATCAAATGTTACAACACAAGATTAAGAGCACGTGGGAAAGTAGCGTGGCATTTTAACAGGGATGAAGAACTGGTTGGCTAACTGGCAGCAGAGTCAGAATAAATAGGTCATTTTGGGTTGAAAAGCTGTAATTTGGCTGGGTCCTCAGCTATTTGCTATTTATATATCAGTGACTTGGATGAAGGGACCGAATATATGGTATCTAATTTTGTCAGTGATAGGCCAGAAAATAAGTTGTTATGAAGGGGTATAAAGTGTGTGCAAAGCAATCCAGGCAGTTTAAGTGAATGGGGAAAAGATTGACACATTGATTATAATGTGAGAAAATTTAGTCTTGTCCATTTTTAGCAGGAAGAGCAGAAAAGCAGTATCCTATTTAAATAGAGAAAGACTGCAGAACTCGGTGAACAAAGGGGTCTGGGTATCCTGGGACCTGAATTGCTGAAAGTTAGTATGCAGGTATGGAAAATGATTAGGAAGACACATAGAATGCTGGGGCTTATTACAAAGGAAATGGAATGTACAGGTTGGGAATTTTACTGCAGTTTTACAAGACTTTGATGAGACCACATCTGGAGTACTATGTGTAATTGTGTTCTCTAATTTGGAAATAGGTATAGTTGCAGTCAGAGCAGTTCGGAGAAAGATCAGTCAACTAATTCTTAAGTAGAAGAGCTTACCTTAGGAGGAAATGTTGATCAGTTTGGATTTTTAACCAATGGAGTTTAGAAGGATATGAGGCCATCTTATTGAAACATACAGGATTCTGAGGGAATTTGATAGGGTGGATGCCAGGACTATGTTTGCTTTCATCGGGGAGACTGGAGCTAGGAAAATCATTTTAAGAAGAAGTAATCTCCCTTTTAGGATGAGATGAGAATTTTATTCCCTCTCTGAGGAATGTTAGTCTGTAGAAATCTCTTCCCCAGAATGGAGTGGAGACTGGGTCATTGAATCTATTCAAGGCAGAGTCGAGGGCTATGGAAGTCAGACAGGAAAATCGAGCTGAGACCAGAACCAGGTCAGATGTGATCTGACTTAATGGTAAAACAGGCTGAAGGGCTAATGGCCTACTCCTGCTTCTGAGTCCAAAGATCCTGTTAACTGGCAAAGTAGGCACAAAGAGGCCTGTTTCTGTTAGTATTATTCTTCAGTTAACTCACATAAATACATTATGTCAATTTAGTTATTGTTTTCACTGCTTAATTGATGAACTCTAGTTCTAGTTTCTCCTGATACATTTGAAAGTAGCAAAACCCCGTAAATGGATTTATTTAATTTTACTGCATGAGATAATTAATTTTGGGATGTTGTTTTCAGGTGTATAGTAACTGCTGATCTGTTAATTTTCTTGATAGAGTTAATGAGTAACTCTTGATAGAGTTAATGAAACAATGTGAAAAATTTAACAGTGCTCACTAGATCTGCCTTTTTCCAATTTGCCATTGAATCAGAGAAAGTCTTTCGGTCTCACCAAGGCCCTGTAATGCTGCAGTAAAATTTCTCAACTTGAAAATTCAATTTTCTTTGAAATAAGCCACAGTTCTCTCTTTGCCTTCCTAACCACTTGTTGTACCTGCATGCTAACCTTTCAATGACTAGTACATCGCAAGCAGCCATGTGACTGTCTGCTACATATTTTCAGTTCAATAAACAGTATGTTTTTTTAATATTCAACAACAAAATAACTTGTGCAGGAACTATATTCGAAGTTTATTCAATCATGTTGGTTGATAATCCTTCAGCTCTTTTGGGTTTTAAACAGGAGGTGTCAGAAAAGTTACCACATGGACAACTATTTTAATATTCAACATCACAAATAATTTGTGTAAGAGCTATAGTTGAAGTTTAGTCTACTCCTGATGGATGGTGGGTCAATAATGTTGCAAGAGGGAAAAGACAATTTTCAACCTTTTGGAATATATAATTGGCATTTTCTTCATTATTTTTACCCAAAGTGGAAATGTGCTGTGATAATTTTGTTGCGATAATTACGTTGTGATAATTATGACATGCCTTGTGATTGCACGTAGACATTATGGCATGAAAAGAGTGGATTAAAAAATAATCTTTAGCTACTGTTGGCAAATATGTTCGTAATGTTGGCTGTAAATCATCATTTTCATGCCCAGTATTGATCTGAATTTTTTTTAGCTGGTAAAAGCCACTGGTTGTGACGTTTCTCTTCTGATGGGGAGGCACTGGTTAATTGCTTTCACCTGTTTCAATATGGCATTAAAGTTGAGTGTTTGTGTCCACAGGCACTGAATCTGAAACAGGACCTCAAGGTCAACATGCAACCCAGTACCAGAACGTGGATGCCCAACAGCAGTTGCAGCAGCGGGATGGTGATGATGATCAAGGTTGGGTATCTTGGGCATGGTCTTTGGTTCCTGCACTGGTCAGTTATTCTGAAGAGGCTGGTGAAAGCTATGAAGTTGATGAAAATGGCATCAAAATAAATTGTCCGAGATCATCACCTCCTAAGGATCCAATCGTTTCTGTGGGATTTTACTGCACCAAAGCTACTATCACTTTTAAGGTTTGTTTAAAAAAAGCAACACACCAAGGCTGACATCTACTTTGCTCATTTACTGTAAGATAGTTTCACATATATAGGTTAGAGTGACAGATTTCCTCCACTCAAGACCCTTAGTGAGCCACTCCTCATAAGGTCATTTTAATGAGACTGCTTTTTTCCCCCAGGTTTATTAATTAATTGAATTTAAATCCACCAGCTGCCATGGTGGGATGTGAACTCATCTCTCAGGAGCATTGGTTTGACCCTCTCTTGCTTACTTGCCCAGTAACATTAGCACTCTGCTACCATTCCTCTTTCTTGATAGTACATAGTGAAAACAACAAGAGAATTTTTTGGAGAAATTTAGAATTATCTGTTCCAGTAGGATCCCTGTTCAATTTTGACCCAAAAACTGACCACTTTTGTTTTGGGAAAGGTAAGACTCTAATTACAGTCTAACATAATCATACCTACTATTTTTTGGCAGATTTTTTATCCTGGGTAGATATTTGCTTTACTCAGATTTTGGAATGATTAATGTTAGGCCTCAGGTGAACTATTTGTTTGGGATTAATGTGTCACATAGCAGTAAATATTTCATGTTCTACATATGGTAGTGATAAATAAAAGTATTATTTTTCATGATATATTCTACTCGCAATGCTGAATCTTAGGTGCTTAATTTATTGGCATTTTGTACGTTCCTAGGTATATGTGCACAGATATGTGTACCTGTGATGAGTTTGTTAATAGTAGCTTAAGTAATTTGAATATTTTAATGTTTCTGACCCACATTTCTGCAGCTCCTTCTTACAGACTAATCCTGCTTGTAACAAGTTTTTTTTTATTGTGCTCTTCGTGCTTTTAAGACAAAAGGATATAGAAATACTTATATAGGTAAAAATTGATTCATGAGGATGATGCCAGAATTCAAAGATTGCAACTATAAGGTAAAAGTGAACAGGCTGGGGCACTTCTCTTTAAAGCAAAAAAACCTTGAGTGTGACCTAATACTGATTTTAAAATATTGACTTGGCTTAATAGGTTAGAAATAAAAAAAATCTGTTTATTTGGCAGTCTAAAACTATGGGCATTACTGGGCAATAGTATAGTGGTAATGTTACTGGACTAGCAACCCTGATCCCAATATAAAGTTCTGATGATTTAAGTTTGAACTCCATTGTGACAGATGATGAGATTTGAATCTGAGAAAAAAAATCAGGCATTAATAGTGACCCAACAGCAAAAAATTCATCTGATTCACTGATGCTGTTTAGGGAAGAAATTCCGCTGTCCCGACTTGTTCTGGCCTAGATGTGACTCCAGAACCTAGCATTGTGGCAATTTTTCTATTATGAATCTGCTTACAGCGGTTCAAAGAATGGTTAGGCATGGGCAATGAATACTGGCCCAGCGAGTGACACCCATCACACGAGTGAATTAAAATAATACACTTTTAACTGTTCTCTGAAATGACATTGCCCTCAAACTGAGTGTTAGTTATGAGGTATGGACAATAAATACTGGCTTAACCAGTGACATTCACATCCCATGCACAAACCAAGAAAAGTGACATTTAGAAAATAGTAGCAAAAGTAGGTCATTCAGCCCATTGATTCATCTCGGTCATTTATCATGATCATGGTTGATCCTTTATTTCAATGCCATGCTGCTACTTTTTCTTATAGCCATCGAAAGCTATAGGCCTTGAGAAATGTGTGTGTTTCTTAAATATGTTCAGTCACTCCACAAACTTCTGTGCTAGAGAATTTCACAGGTGTGTCGCCCTGTGAATGATGAGTTTTTCCTTATCCCAATCTGATGTGGTCAACTGCATATCATGAAACCATGTTCCCTTGTACTGGAAGCACCCACCGTGGAAACGCCATCCCTGCATCCAGTTGGACCTGCCCTGTCACAATTTTATGCACTGCACAGAGATCCCTTCTCATTCTTCTAACCTCCAGTGAATTAGGCCCAGTTGCCACGTGGAGTTCAATACCACATTGGATATTTTAGTTTTACTCATATGATTTGGGCATCACTGACTAGGCCAGCGTTGTTACCCATCTTTAATTGCCCTGGAGAAGAAAATATAGAGTTACATTCTTGAACTGCTGCAGCCCTTGAGGTATTGTGGATACCTACAGTGCTATTAAGAAGCGAGTTCCAGGATTTTCCTTGTGCCACTGAATGAACATTGATTTTGTTCCAAGTTGGAATGGTGTGCAGCTTGGAAGAGAACTTGCAGATGGTGGCTTTCTCATGCAACTACTGCCTTTGTGCTTGGAGGTAGGGATTGTGCATTTGGAAGATATTTTTGGGGGAGCCTTGGTGAGTTACTGTAGCACATCTTATAGATGGTACACACTGTGTATTGGTGATGAACAGAGTGCAAGTTCGAGGTGATAGATGGGGTGCCAGTCAAACAGGTTGATTTGATCTAGATGATGTCATGCTTTTTGTGTGTAGTTGGAGCTGCACTCATCCAGCTAAGTGGAAGGTATTCTATCATACACCTGGCTTGTGTTTTGTAGATGGTGGACTAACACCAGGGAGACAGAAGGTAAATTACTTGATTCAGTAATCCTAGACTCTAATCTACTCTTTTCATCACAGTACTTACATGGTTAGTACAATTCAGTTTCTGGTCAATATTAGACCCCCTGTGATGTTGATAGCAGGGGTTGATGATTATGCCATGGAAGGGCTAACATTTTAGCTTCTCTTTTGGTGATGGTCATTGCCTGGTCCTTGTATGGTGGGAATGCTACTTGGCAACTGTCAGCCTAAACTGTCCAGGTCTTTCTACACATCCAAATGATTGAGCCTATGACACTATCCTGAGGAACTCATGTAAAAATGTCCTGTGTATGAGATGATTGACCTCTAAAAACTGCAGCCATCTTCCTTTGTGCTCTGTATTACTCCAAAACAGAAGATAGTTTTCAGACTGGTTTTCACTGGCTGAGGTTTTGCAAGGGCTTCTTGATGGCATATTTGTCAAATATGGTCTTGATGTCAAAGACAGCCACACACATTTCACTTTCCTTCCCTCTTGTTGGGGCCCATAGCCTTTGCAGTAAATATATGAAATCAACCTATTTAGGCATATTATGGTGCATCACGGGGGCAGTAGGGACTGAAACCCAGACTTTCTGATCCAGAATGTTTTTGAATTAATTTTGAATTCTAGTGGATCATATAATCTCTACAGTGTGGAAGCAGGTCATTCAGCCCATCGAGTCCACGCTCTCCTACCCTATCTCTGTATTTCCCATGGCTAATCCACCGAATTTATACGTCACTTGGACACTATGGGCAATTTAGCATGGTCAATCCACCTAATTTGCACATCTTTGGACTGTGGGAGAAAACTGTAGCACCCAGAGGAAACCCACGCAGATGCAGGGAGAGATGCAAAAATAGGGTGGATTGCCAGGGTGGGTCCCTAGCTCTGTGAGGCAGTAGTACTAGCCATTGAACCACCGTGCCCAGACATAGAGACGCTAGCACTGTGCCAGAAGAGACCTTAGCCTTTAAAGTATCCAATGCCTTCATCCATTTCTTGTTATCATGTGGAGTGAATTGAAAAGTTAGTAGGAAGCATGTGTCCTTTTTGTCAGGCAGTGCACGCCCAGTTGAAGGACCTGGATTTGGAGCATAAAGAGTTGCAGAAGTCCCCCATTGTTCCACCCTTTCTTGGTTATCCTCTGTACCCCTGTCTCTGATCCATTCATGTGTTGTCCTGGGATCCAGTGCTGACCCTAGGCCTCTGTGATATAGTGTCATAGCAGCCATTGCTCCTCCTGGGTATTGAGGAGCATGGACAGCTGTTAGCCTTAGATTGGCTGGTAGTTCTTTGGTGGACAGGAGTTCAACCCATAGTCACAGGGACAAAGCTCACCACTGGCCTGTTAAGTGGGACAAGGTATCGCAAGCCTTCTAGAAAAGGAGTTCTGATTGGCAGAAATGCCCATTATCTTCATAACATTTTGCCACTGTAGAGTTGCCTGCTTGCTACTTTGGGAGATGTCTGCTTGCTATTTTAGAAGCTTATTTGCCTGTTTTGCATCAGAAAACTAGAAACAGTGCCATTAAATTTCTAAACCTTAATCATGATCCCTCAAGCATTTTTACAGTCTTATGAAAGGTATAGTAGATTATTTTACTAAAAGCAGTTGAATATAAGCAGTTGGAACAAGAGGTGTAATAAAGTTTCACTCGTATTGACCCAAGTATAGAATCCTGCTTGGGAATAAGAGTCACAATAAATATATAATGTATTAATGAGCTTTCATCAAGTTTCCTGGGCATTGTTCAGGTTCTGAGTAGGCATAAGCTTGAATTCAGTTGAATTTTTGTCTCACTTGTGACAGGCTTTTTTCCTATACCTAGTAGACTGGCAGGCTGGCCATGTATCTTTTTCGCTTTGTTCCCTGCTCAATTGAGAGCAGTCCTTAGCACTCAGTGATTTGTCAGTCTGCATGTACATTGAAACTGGCTATCTATCTACCGCACTTTTGGCTCTGATCTTAAGGAAAAGCTTTCCTGCTCAGTTTGAAATAAATAAGGGCTATTCTGGTTTAATGCACCTGGGATCAGACAATTGATCCTCATTATCTCAGTTTGAAATAGCTGTGAGCTACAACATTCTATACAGTGGGTACATCTGGCTTTAATGCGCATCATCAATTCCTGATTCTTTACCAAATAAACCCCTATCTAAGTGGATTCAGCCTTTCATTTTGAAAAACATATTTTGTTTTGAAAATTCAACAATTAGATATGACCCATTCCCAAATCCTTCCTGTGAAGACCAAAAATAATTATTGAAAAGTCTAGAAATTTTGTGGGGGCATAAAACTTTGGGCTGGTATTTATTCATTCCATTATTTTTCATTATTCTGGTACCTGTACTTGGTTGCCTCCGTGATTGATTAGTTGCAAACTTTGATGGATAGACCATAGAATTATACAGCATTAAAGAAAATTGGAAAAGACTGCCGTATAGCAAACCA